GCCTTGTCTTCGAGCTCTGAATTTCTTTCTTCTACTTGATCAATTCTATTGCTGAAACTTTCCAGAGCATTTTGCATTTCTAAAAGTGTGTCCAAAGTTTCCTGAAATTTTTATTGTTTTTTCTTTAAGCTATCTATTTCATTGAATATTTCTCCCTTCACTTTTTGTATCATTTTTGGATTTCCTTGCATTGGGCTTCACCTTTCTCTGGTCCCTCCTGATTAGCTTAATAACTAACCTCCTGAATTCTTTTTCAGGTAAATCAGGGATTTCTTCTTGGTTTGGATCCATTGCTGGTGAACTAATGTGATTTTGGGGGGGGAGGTTGCTGACAAGCCTTGTTTTGTCATATTACCAGGGTCGTTTTTTTAGTTCCTTCTTATTTGGGTAGGCTCTGTCAGAGGGAAGTTCTAGGGCTGAAGGCTATTGGTCAAATTTTTTTGTCCCTCAGGGTGTTCCCTTGATGTAGTACTCTCCCCCTTTTGCTATGGATGTGGCCTACTGTGAGCCAAGCTGCAGTGATTGTTGTCACTGTTCTGGGTCTAGCCATGTAGTCAGTCTACCTGGATCCAGGCTGGTACTGGGGGTTTCTGCACAGAATCCTGTGATGTGAACTGTCTATGGGTCTCTCAGCCATGGATACCACCGCTTGTTCTGGTGGAGGTGGCTAAGGGTAAAATAGACTCTGAGGGTCCTTAGGTTTGGTGGTTTAATGCTCTATATTTGTGCTGGTTGGCCTCCTGCCAGGAGGTGGCACTCTTCAGAAAGCATCAGCTATAGTAGTGTGGAAAGGAACTGGCAGTGGCAGTGGCCATGGCCCTACAACTCCCAAGATTATATGTCCTTTGTCTTCTACTACCAGGATGGTTAGGGAAGGACCATCAGGTGGGGGCGGGGCTAGGTGTGTCTAAGCTCAGACTCTGCTTGGGCAGGTCTTGCTTGTGGTGGAGGGGGTGAGATTCCTATGTCACTGGAGTTGTGTACCTAGGAGGATTATGGCTGCCTCTGCCGAGTGATGCGGGTTGTCAGGGAAGTGAGGGAAAGCTGGTAGTCATTGGCCTCACCCAGCTCCCACACAAACCAAAGGGCCGCTCTCACTCCCACCATATCCCCCACCAATAGCCCCAAGTCTGTTTCCAGGTGGAGGGCAAGTCAGGCTTGAAAACTTGACCAAGGCTTTCGGCCTCCCAGCTGCAAAAGAAAAGGGTTTTAGTTCTTTTCCCACCTGCAAAGTCTGCAAGTGGGATTCACGCCCTCCCCTGAGTTCTGGCAAGGAGGCTTCTGGCCCCGTGCAAATTGTTACAAAGTTCAGCTAGAGAAGTCCTTCACCCTGTGGAGTCTTACCCCCTGCTCTTCTGGCTTCCCTCCTGATGGAACCCTGTGGTGCCAGGCGGGAATGGGCTGCTTGGGGATCCAGTGCGCCCCCAGTGCCTTTCTGCTGCTTCCTCTATCCCTGTATTTCACTCAGCTCAGCTCTCTAACTTGACTCAGTTCCAGGTAAGGTCATGAACTTCTCCCACAAACAGACCTTCAGCTTCTCCAGTGGGGGAAAGGCGGTATCCAGGAGAGAAGGGTCTACCTTTCCCACTTCTGAAGTTGGGGCACTCACAGTATTTGCAGTGTCTCTTGGGTCCTGCAGGAGCAGTCTGCTTCCTTCTGAGGGCCTCAGGATTGCTGGTCTGTTCTTAGAGTCAATCTGGAGCCAAAACTCACAATGCACACCTCCGCATGCTGCTCTTCCATAGCTGCAATCTAGTCCTGCATCCTGGTCGCCATGATCCACCTGCTGACTCTGTATATTTTAAATGGAAGATTTAATCCATTTATATTCTAGGTTATTAATGACAGGCGAGGACTTACTCCTGTCATTTTATTGTTTTCTGGTTGTTTTGTATATCCTTTGTCCCTTACTTCCTCTTATTTACTTTTGTGGGTAAGTGGTTTTCTATAGTAATAAGGTTTGATTCCTTTTTCTTTTTTGTGTATCGGCTCTACTGATGAGTTTGCTAGTTTTGCATGTTTTTTTTTCCTATAAAAAAATAAAATGACTATTTGTTCACTTAATGGTATTCTGTGAATCCTATAGGCTTTCTTCATTCTTTTTTCATTCTTTCTTGTCTGCCCATATTATTTCAAAATTGTCTTGAAGTTTAGAAATTCTTTCTTTCTTCTGCTTGGTTTAGTCTGTTGTTGCAGCTCTCAACTGCATCTATTTCATTCATTGAATCCTTCAGCTGCAGGATTTGATTCTATACCTCTTCATTGGATTTCTCAAATCATGAATTGTTTTCCTGATTTTGTTGAATTATCTATCTGTATTCTCTTGAAGCTGAGTTTCCTTAGGATTATTATTTTGATTTTTTTTTTGCATTTCCTATATTTTGTTATAATTGGGGTTGGTTACTGGAGAGTTGTTTTCCTTTGAAGATGTCATGTTTCCTTGCTTTTTCATGTTTGATAGGTCCCTACATTGATTTCTATGCATCTGGTGGAAAAGTCAGCTCTTCTATCAGGTGCATAGAAATTTTATGGAATAGGTTTCATAGGGAAAGACTTATTTGTATGAATGAGTTGTGGGGTGTCAGTTCAGTGCAGTGCATTTGTTTCAGCTGGATGGAGTAGTGTACTATCTATAACATTTCTTCAGCTGCAGTCCACATTAGTGATGTTTCTCAGGAGCCTAGGCTGAGAAAGTTTGTGGCAATTGAAGTGGGCTCACCAGGCTATTTTGCAAGTTGAGGCTAGATGCATGCACATGGTTAATTAGCCAACTTGGAGTCTGGCTTGCTGGAGTTGGAGCCACAGAGCTTTTACTTAGGCTAGGAACATGGGCATGTGGTTGTTCAGTCAGCCAAGGGATGTGTCTGCCAGGGGCAGCCCATGGGGCTGTTTCTCAGAACTAGAATGCAGGCACAAGGCTGTATAGTTGGCCTGGGGGCACATTTGCTGAGAGTGGCCCACAGGGCTGTTTATCAGGCCTAGGGCACAGGTACAAGTCTGCTTGGCAGGCCTGGATGTGTGCCTACGAGGTGTAGCTCATGGGGCTGTTTTTCAGGCATGGTATGCAGACCTACAGCTGCTCAGCTGGCCTGGAGGCATGTTGGGTAGGGCCAACTCACAGTGCTGTTTCTCAGGCCTGGGACATGGTCACACAGCATCTCAGCTGGCCTGGGTATGTGCTGAGGGTGATTCCATGGGACTGTTTCTCTGGCTAAGGACACAGGCACATAGCTCCTCAGCCAGCCTGGGGGCAAACCATTGAGCTCTTTCTCAAGCCCAGGATGTGGGTGCAAGGTTTCTCAGCTAGCCTGGGATCATGTGTATTAGAGGTAGTCCATGGGGCTATTTCTCAGGTCCAGTTTGTGGGTACACAGCTGCTCAGCCAGCTTGGGGGTATATTTGCCAGGGGTGGGCACAGGACTATTTCTCAAGCCCATGACATTGCTGCCTATTTAGCTGGACCAGGGGTGTTTCTGGAGGGAAGGGGGTCAAAATATCTTTATTTCCTACTGATAGCTGTTAGGAATTTTATTTCCCAACTCTGGGAGTGAGAAATATTCTGTCCCTTTATTTTACTAAACATCTGTTCAAAGTCCCAATCCTGCCAGGTTCAAAACTCTATCAGTCCTAAATCTAACCTGATGGCATGGTGAGTCATTATAAAGTAATTACTAGGGAGTGCCTTTGATAACAATATTGCATACTTAAACACAGTTGCTGTACTGTAGGAATCAGTAACCTCATTAGGGATTCAAAAATACACACATAGGAAGTTTGAACAACCTAAGAATGGAAAAATATCACAAAGGGAGGGATGCATAAATATTACAATGCATGCTACTGGCTCAGAAGGAAGATGGCACCATATGCTAGAATGGCCTGGATGACAGAACTGTTTATCTGACCCTTAAGCATGAATAAGATTTTGAGAGACAAGAGGGAATCTGGGTCTTAGGTGGGAAATAACCTAACAAAGGCTTGGAACTAAGACAAGAATTGTGTTCAAGGCCCAGATAACTGGCATGGCTGGAAGAAAATGTTCATATCATACAGAGCAGGACTTTGGGACTTCAGAGGTGATTATCTGGTAATTTAGGTAGTGAATAGTGAACTGCTAATGTCAAGGAGTTTGAATTTTATCCTACAATGAATGGCAAGTTATTGAAGGATTATGAGCAGAGTGACCAGATCAAACTAGTGTTTCTTAAGTATGTTTCAGATAAATTTAGACCTTAGGGAGCAACTAAAACAATCCAGGTATGCAAATAAATGAATGAAATTAGGGATTGAAAGATAATGACCTTATCGAGAGAAAGAATCAGCATTGCATTGATTTGGCTCCAAGATTTTGAGTATTGATGGCCATGAAGTATTTGACCAAAAAGGCTTAATTCTATAGCCGGGTGTGGTGGCTCATGCCTGTAATCCCAGCACTTTGGGAGGACGAGGCAGGCGGATCACGAGGTCAAGGGATTGAGGCCATCCTGGCCAACATGGTGAAACCCCGTCTCTACTAAAAATACAAAAATTAGCTGGGTATGGTGGCACAATCCTGTAGTCCCAGCTACTCGGGAGGCTGAGGCTGGGGAATTGCTTGAACCCGGGAGGCAGAGGTTGCAGTGAGCTGAGATTGCACCACTGCACTCCAGCCTGTCGACAGAGCAAGACTCTGTCTCAAAAAAAAAAGGTGGGGGGTGTAATTCTGTAAGAAAGAGAGGACAATTTTTAGAACACAATGATGATTGATTTTAGACAGGAAGTTGAATGATCATACCAGCTAATGATATCTATAATCAATCATTAAAATCTCATCTCATGAGTTCAGGCTGAAGACAGAAAAGCAAAGGGTTGTGGGCTGCCATTGGGCTGCAACTCTTATTTTATGGGTCAGAATGAAATCACTATAGAGAAGCAAAAAAAAAAAAAATGTTCATTGAGTCATGATTCTTGGCTTTCATAAAAAGACTACATTCAAAAAACAGGGAAAGTCAGGCCAAAACTTTGTTTTCAGGTTTTTTAATGACAAAATATTCATAAATCAAACTTTTATAAATATAAAAAAATTAAATACATTTCATCTGAATACACAAAGACAAATCCTGCTGTAAATACTACGTACAAATTATTCTGTGCTGGACATGGCAAATTTAGTACAAATTCAGTTATTAAAAGGAACCTCTTTCCAAATAGTGTTCTTACGCAACATTTAATTTTTCTGCTTATTTCAATGACACATCTAGCTTTTTTTAAAGCGTATTTTATTTCAGAGTGCAACAGAAACTAGCTTGTAGCCTCTTAAGCTACTAGGAAGAGCATCATTGATGCCACGGTATGCCTGCTTAGGCCATTTATCATTTCTCTACACTTGATTGCTCAATGGCTATTCAAAATTGGAATGTGGTACAGCAGTTACAGTTCTGTCTCAACAAGTACCAAACTGAAAATCAGATGGCTAAATAATTTCTTGTTTTGTTACCAATTTTAAATATTGCTAAAGAATTCTCTACAGGAGTAAGGTTAATGAGCAAGATTAAATAGCAGCAGCAGATCCAATTGCGTTTTCTTTTTCATAAGCCTAAAAGCATTGTGGTGTGTTTCAGAGCTGCTTCCTCTACAAATTCTGCATCCACATTGTCATGTCGTTCAACAGGATACAGGGCTGGAAAAAAAATAGGGGGCAGGGAAGAAGGGTTACTACCAAGCCATGAAACATTTATAACTTTGTACTCACAGCTCATTAAAATCTTAATTATATTTTAGTAAAATGATTTTTTTTGAAAATGTGTTCTTAAGATTAAATTTCAGCACCAAGAACATGTGCATCACCCAAATGGGCTTTAAACCTCTTAACTCTTTTAAAACTTCAGAGGTGATTATTTGGTAATTTAGGTAGTAAACTGTGTGCTGCTAATGTAAACCAATTCCTATAAGGACCTACTTGTATGTTAAAAGAATTTTGGAAAGAAAACAGTTCACAGAAGTGAATAGGGAAGGACTGATGTCAAGAGAAAAGTGGGAGGACCCTGAGAACAGTGGAGTAAATTACCTTGATTGGTGGACTCTATATCTGTTAGAATTTCAATGAAGTAGTTGAGAGGCAGAAATTCTAAACTGAACGATGACTTGTCAATCATAGAATTCCGAGGCTAAAAGGGAAACCACTTCTGGTTTAAGCCGGTTCTCCACAATAAGCACAGTTTTATAAAAAAGTGTAAGAATTATAATTTTTGTCCATATAGATATGTTGTCATGGGCAAATAGGATCCTAAAAAACATTTAGTTGGCTGTGCTTTCAGAGAAACTCACCTGTTTCTTATAGTTCTGAAGCAGTCGCATCACATGGTTCCGTGAAATGATGTTAGAACTCATAGGATGATCCCAAAGTCTACAGATCTTCTGACCAATAAGCTATTATGCAAATTGAAAAATATGTAGAGAATATACTGAATACTGCATTAAGTAAGCATACCTTGTATCTATTCATAATTTTGAAAGTATTATTCCAACGTAACTGGTTAGTCTAAAAGACAGGCACTTAAGGACCCTTGGAGAAATGCCATGTTCCTATGAAGTTTCTAGGAGCAAATACTCCCTCAAATGCTACAATGAGGAAAGTGGTTTATACATTGATGTTGCCAAACCCTTTTACCGAAATGGAGTTTATCCACTGCTCTTCAAAACCGGAGATGGGCATGCAAACTCCGTGATGTTTTCACAGGAAACTAAAGGGTGGAGGCATGTTTATATCAACTTCTCTGCCATTGTCTTGCCTAGAAAATTTCACTTCCCTAAGAGTGTTGAGGAAATAATCAAATTGGGAGCCCAAACTAAATATTCAGCGATGTTCCCCAGAGAGATCTAGCTATGGAAAATATGCTTTGTTTTCTATTCTTGCCTTTGCTTCAGTAAGCCTGTGAGTGGGGGAAGGGCTATCACAGAGCAGGGTGATTAGGTCCAGAAAGGCAACAAGATCTCCGTGGTGAGAGGACCGTGCCAGAGGTGCAAATGAGCAAGGCGTGTAAACAGCAGATGGAGCTGGCTAAGACTATTCAGGTCAGGAAATTTGCAGAGTTAGAGGCTTGGAAGACCTTGCTGTGGAATTTCATATTTTCATAGTATCTCTGACTCTGAGAGTTAATATTTCCTCACACACACACACACACACACACACACACACACACAAAATGAATGCCTTTAAAGCTCTTTCCCTTTGTGTTTCTCATTCTTCCTTTGACCTAGGAATGTTTTTCTACTACGGTAGAAAGGCAGTAAGGGGAAATACAGTTCTAGAATCTTCTTTCCTCACCTGATTCAAATGTATCTGTTTAAATGCCAACAGCATGTTTCCCCTCTCCCTCCTCTCAGACTCAGATGTAAATATTAGTGTGGTTTCCTAAGAAGCGAAAATGGCTTAACGTTCTCACTGGACTGTGCCAAGGCAGTGCAGAGCCAGAGGAGCAAGTGCTTTGTAGGCCCAGTGGGAACCAGCTGACAGAGTGCTGGGGACGAGTGGGATTCCTTGGAAGCATTGAAAAGTGAAATGATTCAATTGACTTTAACCCAAAGTAAGTAAATGCTCTTCTTGCAAGAAGGAATTGAAGGAAGGTCATGCCAAAGCTTAGGGAAAAACTAAAATCTAATTCAGAATTACCGGAGGAAGCCGCACAATGATACTGAATTTCAATTTTTCATTTTTCTCTGTATTGTCCAGATCTGCAAGAAAGTTAGAGATTGGCAAATTAAACAAATACCCATTTTGATACTTCAGCAAGTTAACATTAATAGTTGAGTGGTTCATCTTGACACAATATATACCCCAACTTTGTAGCCTCAAGCTAATCTAACAGTATTTTGGAAATTTTACTCTGTGACTCTCTGAATAAAAATAGATTTTTCTATAACAGGCTGCCAGGTGCAAAGCAATTTTATTGACTAACAACAGAAGGTACCTTGAGGAATGACAAATGCTTTCATATATTAAGAAAAATCATCTGAAAATATCATAATTGAATAATATGAATGATTATACTACAAACAAGTTCAAATTCATATAAACATTGCTTCTCTCTACAATTTTCTTGCATTTCTAATCTAACCTTGAGATGACAGAGTTAATCAGCTGAAAGTCTTGAGAAATGAACCTGTGGAGACTCCTAGCCTCAAGTGCCCTCTTGCACAGAAAAGGAATCTAATAGTTGTATGTTGATTGAAAAGTCCCTTGGGACCCCTTGAAGGGCTAAGACACTTTAAATTGGCCCAAAGGATGATTACAGGGAATGGATTGTGCTCACAGGACCAGCTTGTATAATCTGTGAGGCTCAACACAAAATAAACATGAGCAAGCCCTTGTTCAAATATTACCAAGAATTTCAAGATGTAATACAGCATTAAACTGAGCAGGAGATTCCTCTGAGTGTAGTCGGGCTCTTTGTGACCACACAGGTTGCACACCCAAGAAGCTAGCCTTGGTGATGCGCAGACTGGAACTAACACTCTGGCAAACTCAGGGCCTCTTACCTTTCATGAGCCTTGTGACCGCTGTTTCAGTGAGAAGCAACACTCCACTGTCAATGCAATGCAGCAGGTTGTGCAAAGGGAGACAGTGGACCCCGAGGATGGTGTGCAGAGTATGAAAACCTAGGATGAGAGATCCGGAGGGTAAATGCAGTCAGCCAACATCTCCAGCAGCCCCCAGGGAATGGATTAGATCATGTTAATAAAGCACTTAGTTCAGTGCTTGGTGCCTGGAACCAACTAAATTTCTTGAAAACAAGGTCCAAGTTTCCTTCTCTGTATTATTCATAATTAAAAATCGTGCTGGGTCTATAGTAAGTTTCCAGTAAGTGTATATTCCCTTCTTGGGTCCCTTCCTATGCAAAAAGAGAGCAAGGTCTGCTCAATGAAAAATGGTTTTAGAGATTGATATGTTTGTGATTCTACAGTAAGATAGCAAAAGAGTACAGAAGCACTTCAGACTTTATAGGTCCAGACTAAAAGGTTGTTGGGATGAGGACCATTTTGCTGAAGGGAAACAAATTTGGACCAGAAGGGAATTAGTTCATATGGCTGATCTCTGAGTATAGAGAAAGGCTTTTAGGGTCTACTTGGACTAAAGTATAGAAAAGAAATAATTAAAACAATATGGCCAAATAGTAAATTTATAGGAATTCAGTTGAGAGGTAGGCACTCTCTCAAGCCTGTCTCATGGGCAGAGCTACCCACACAGACCCTGATTTCTAAGTGTACTACTACTGACAAAAAGACAAAAACAGCATGCATGAGAGACGGTATCAGACCAGGAGAGAATCAGAACAGCTCTTTTGGAAGTGATGGCATTTGTGGGGAGTTTCAAAGGATAAATACAATTCTTATGAGTGAGGACGGTAGAAAAAACCAGGTTTGGCATGAGCAGCCCTAGGCCGGAATCCTGCTGTATTACTTACCAGCTGCAGGCAGCTGAGCCTTTCTGAGCCTCCATTGCTTCATCTCTAAAATGAAACCCCCAGTACCTTTCCCACAGGATACTCTCCAGTTCCCATATTCCTTTGAGAACTAGAGCCAGGTCTGTGAAGAGCCTAGCATGCAATGTGACAATAGTGACCTATACTGGACATGTACTAAGGCTTTCAAGCTGTGTACTGGCTCATTTGATCCTCATACAAAACTACGGGGTGGGAATTACCAGATTCCTGTTTCATAAATGGAAAAGCCAAAAGCCAAGATTCACAGAAGCTAAGAAAGTTGCCCAGGATCACATAAACAGTAAGTTGTAGACTGAAATTTGCGTCAATCGTATGATCATAGCACAGGCTTTTAACCATAACATCACAGCTGTGTTAATAGAACATGAACAGAGGCCCAAAGATGAGAAAGTATAGGGCACATTCAGAAAACAGTAAATGATCTAGCTGGGTTGGAATCATATTAGAGGAGAATGATTAAGAGGTAAGGTTGGAAATGCTAATTTACTCAGCACATCCCTTCCACACACCTGGCAAGGGGTTAGAAGTACAAAAATAAGCAAAATAGGCACAATTGCTGCTTCTGTACACCTTGCAGTCTGGTCGGGGAGGCAGACAATTAAAAAAATAAATATACATTTTTTAAAATGTGACTAGCTGTATGCTATGAGTGCTGGTGACAGGGCTTGAATGCTTAATGAGAGGAATCTATTAACTTGAGAGACTTTGGGGAGGCAATAAAAGTTTTTAAGCACGACAGAAAGAAGATTTATCATTGGGACATTAATACGGCAACAGGCAAAGAATGAGCTGGGATAGCAATTTGCTACAGAGGTATGAAGAACTATAGAGAAGCTATTGCCTGAACATGGATAAGAGGTAATGGAGGCACTGAATCAAGGAGACCCAGTAACATGTACAGGCTTTGCAACTGATTGAATGTGGGAATGACAGAAGAATCATAGCCTACTTTTGGGAAGATACATGACAGAAGGATGAAGCACAACGAGCAGGGCTTGGATTCAGAGAAATCATGGGATTTTCTCTAAACACATGAATCACAAGCCGTGGGGCACAGTCCTAAGTCCTTGTAACATCAAGGGTCAGATGAAGTACAGGCTCTGCCCACAAGCATGTGTTAATGGGCTGACAACAGGATGAGTGCACTAGCTTCCCTGAGTCCAAAAAAACTCCACTATTTTACTAGTTAATTAACAACAAGATTTTTCAAATGGATTTAGAAATTCTTCACAAAACCCTCTTAGTAAAACAAAGTTATAAAATTATTTCTGAAGAAAAGTTTACACTAGATTATTGATCTTATTAATTTTCTGGATTCAAATTTCCCTCTCCAGCCCTGTGCTCATATCCTAAAGATCCCTGATGACTCTTCATCCTCTATCCCCAGGGCACAGTCTCAAGTTCAGGGACCCGTTCTTGGCCTCTGTGCGTCAGCTCTGAGCAACAGAGCAAATTGGCTATTATTAGTCATCAGCTCCACCCAACTTTAGTCCTCATCTTCCAGGGCTCCTGGCCTCCTCTAGCCAGCAAGTGCAATACAGTTCCTTTTTTTAAAAGCAAATGCCCTAGCTCTAAACTATGACATCCTTCTTGTGGTCCTCTTAACTTTAACCAATTCACGTTACAAGCCTCTGACACTTGTAACTCAAATAGTCCTCATTAGTCCAATAGGCCTGGAAAGCAAGCACACTTACACATGTGCATGTAGAAACACCCTGAATTCATACACACAGGCATGCACATGCACACACATGATCCAGTGTCACTTCCCCCCTATATTTCCATGTCACATAATGGAAATAAATATTTAAGAGCAAAGGAGAGAGAAACAGCTTTTCCTTACCTGATCCACAGACATGAACCCTAGGTCTACTTACAATAATTCTCGATCACTATGGATAACATTTTTCTATGTTTTCCTTCCTTATCCCTGTGAAGGAATGTGAGCTGGGTAGGAAGTGGATTTTATGATCTCCAGGCATAAAAATGTCCGCAGTAAGTCAGTTTCATTTATTTTCAAAAGGAGCTTGAATATCCATAATGAACAAATCTGAAACTGTCCATCGATTTCCCTACCAATATTTTTGTGTTTACAACAATTAAGAATTTAAGCCACAAAAGTAGTTTTCCTAAAATCCTTCACTCTTTCTAGGGTATACCTTATAACTCATATTCCACTGGGATAATTTTAAATGATCCATTCCCCTCATGAATGGTCACTTTCAACTCCTTTTGTACTGCCGCTACAGAGAGACATTAAATAAGGTGATGGATGGAGGAAGAAAGAAGGATTCCAAATCGTATCAGATATATCATAAATACAGAAAAGCATACGCTGTAGGGATTCTTTAGGCCCATAAATAGCCCATGTTTCAACATCAACTAATTCAACGGCAATATAAAATTCAAGAAGCAGCATGGATTTTGGAGTCAGACTGCCTGGATTAGAATATCAGCCCTGTCACTTAATAGCCATGTGACTTTAGGCAAATTACTTAATCTTTCTGGCCTCAGTTTCACCATCTATAAAATGGGAACAATGTTAAGTTGAACTACATGTGCCATTTTTGCTGGCTAAAAAATGGTGGGCTACTGACTTTTTAATGCAGTCCAATTCAAGTTTCTACCAGTTATGAATGTTATGAAAATTAAGTTTGCAAATTTGTGTGTACTTTGAACAGTACCTGGCACAAAATGGTTATCATATATACGTTGGCCTAAAATGAATGAACTAATGATGAATGGATGGATATATATGAAGTAACTAAAAATCAGCTGATATGTAATTACAGCAATCAAAGTTTAACATTCATTAGAACTTATATGCAATAATACACCCACCATTCATATACAGGTAGCTAATCTTCAAAAGCACCAAGAACACATAATGGGGAAAGGATCACATCTCTGATAAATGGTGTTGGAAAAGCTGACTGTCCACATGCAAAAGAATGAAATGGGACCTTTATCTTAACCATAAACAAAATTCAACTCAAAACGCATTATAATGTTAAACATAAGACCCAAAACTGAGAAACCCCCTAGAAGAAACAGAGGTAAATCTTCTTGACATTGGTCTTGGCAATGATTCCTTGAATATGATGTCCAAAGCACAAACAATGAAAGCAAAAATATATAAGTGGGACTACACCAAACAAAAAGGTTTTCGCACAGCAAGGGAAACAATCCAGAAAGTAAAGGCAAAACCTACAGGATGACAAAAAAATGTTTGCAAACCATATATCTAATAAGGAGTTAATTTCTAAAACATATAAAGAACTCAAACCTCAATAGCAAGGAAACAACTGGATTAAAAAATGAGCAAGGGACTTGAACAGACATTTCTCCAAAGATTACAGACAAATGGCCAACACTTAAATGAAAATATGCTCAACGTCACTAATCATCAGGGAAATGCAAATCAAAACCGCAGTGAGATGTCACCTCACATCTCTCAGATTAGCTATTAGCAAAAACCCACAATCTAAGTGTTGTCAAGAATGTGGAGAAATCGGACTCTTATACACTATTGGTGGGAACATAAAGTGGTATCGCCACTGTGGCAAATGGTACAGAGGTTCCTCAAAAAAATTCAAAAAAAATAATATATGATCCAGTAATCTCATTTCTGGGTAAATATCCATAAGAATTGAAATCGGGATCCTGAAGACATATGTATATACTCCCATGGTTATCACATTATTCACAATAGCCAAGATAGGGAAACAACCTAAATGTCCACTGACAGATGAAGAAAATGTAGAATATACAATGGACTATATTACTCAGCCTTAAAAAATGAAATCCTGCTCCATGTGACAACATGGATGAAGCTGCAGGTCTTTATGCTCAGTGAAGAAAGCCAGTCACAGAAGGGCAAATACTGCATGATTCCATTTACATATCTAAAGTAGTCAGACTCTTAGATACAGAGGGTAGAACAGTGCTTGCCAAGTAGCTGGGGAATAGGAGGACAGGGAATTGCTGTTCAACAGGTAAAAAGTTTCAGCTGTCAAAGATGAGTAAGCTCTAAAGATCTGCTCTACAACATTGTACCTATATTTAACAATACTGTATTGTGCATTTAAAAATTTGTTAAGAGGGTAGGTCTCAGGTTAAATGTTGTTACACAATTAAAAACTGAACTCATGAGCACAACATAGTTTATAGCTAATGGGCTTATTTCTCATAATGGATACTGATTTCTATGTATATCCCTAGTCTCTTCCTAATCTTTGTGCTGTAATTTCTAGCACATTACCTCTCATGTCATAGTTGCTCAACAAATGTTTGTTGACTAAATGAACACATGACCAATTAAATGAATGAATGCATATACATCTCCCAAGGGTGTTTTGTGGCCTGACTTGATCCTATTTAAAAATTCTAAGGGGAAATTTTTACCTTCCAAATGCCTAAGAATCAGTTCAATTCTTGGCATTAAGCCAGACCCACTTCCTAGTGTTCACCTTCAGATATCTCAATCAGATAAACTAGGCCTGGAGACATCAGAGATAGAGTTCTATAAATTAGTTCTGCTGGTTCAGATTATCCTAGAAAGCTGCATGCTGTTAAGCATAGGTTCCCTAAAGTTAGTAATAAGCTACAACATAGTTTAGTAGTCACAGGAGCTCTGGTCAGCAGAGACCAACCTAAGGGCCCATCACTCACAGTGATACCAGACACACAATTTCTCATATACAAGTCTCATCATCACACTTAAAATGTACCAAGGACAAGGGCCCATATGAAGAAGAAATAAATTTATTACACCAAAGGACAAAAGAGCCAACACTTACCAGGAGGCAGAGGTAAAAACAAACTGTTTGTAGCTTCCAAAATTCTGGTCATGATATGAAAAACTGCAAATTCAGCAGCACTGCCACGACTATTGCTGGGTTATAAAAAAAAAAAAAAAAAGCCAAAAGCATGTCAGCCAAGGAAGTCATCTGTGACACCCCTAAGCAGTGGCTTTGAGCACTACACAGGGGTTCACGCTAATCACGAAATGCTGTGCCCTGCAGATAGCCCCATAAATGACTGTGACCATCAGCCTAATGCCTAGAATTTAACAAGAGAGTAGGCACATATGTTATACACTGTACCGACTGTACAACTGCCTTCTTGGCAGTATTGGGCTCATTTGTCCCTCCCTCATCACCAAGCATGTGCCAGGGAAAGACGATGGGTAGAGTAACAGAGGCATACTTTTAATTTTTATTGTACATTAAAAGGTACACATGCAGGGGGGCATAACTTTAAGTGCTGAGTATAAAATTAAGCTAGATGGTGTTGAAGCTGGTGAGAACCGATTTGAGCTAGTACATTTCAAAGGGGTTTTACTAAAACAGAGTTGTTTCCACTCTTTGTACACCATGATAAAAGCGAGAAATACTTGCGTACAAGTGGAGAACCCAGGAATGAAGATTATGTTTCCTCCAACTGGCTTCTAGGATGTGGCAAATGAGATCCAGCTGGAGGGTGAAGACAGTCCATTAACCATTACTTCATTCCTTCCCTCACAACTAGGCCTCCACAGCTCAGATAAGCATTCAGGGCAGCTGGCATTCAGGCTGCGCCCAGAAACACAACTAGCCTTTCTGAGGTTAATTCTGAAGCACTGAACCCCAAATGGAAAGACTGAAAATGTGCACCAGAATGTAACAGAGCATCCTCTGTCTGTGCAGCCAGTGCCCTGGCTCAGCCTCCCCAGCCCAGCTAACTGGCCCCACCACTCACACTTACAGACCTTCATCCATCAGTGAAGGTCAAGTGCCAGAGGGTTTGCTCTAGGCCTGTCACAATGCAAGGGCCAACATCGGACAGAAGAAAAGAGACACAGAATGGAGGTCATTAGCATGAACTGTGGAGTAAAACTGATATCAAGTCCAGATTCTATATGTTCCTAGTTGTGTAACCCTACACAAGTTACACACTCTCTCCAAATTGCAGTGTCCTCACGTGTAAAATGAGGGGAAATATTTAATAGGGTTGTTGTAAGAATTGGTTAGCACACTGACTAAAACTAATCAACCAAAGTAGCTAGCCTTCTTTGTCTTAGAGCTTTATCCAAAAACTCATTCTAACTCTGCAACACGTTTGCCAGCAGAAGAGTAGTCCCCATGGAGCTGTTATCAGCCATGAACCACACATTGTGTGGGCCAAGAACAGGGGGCAAAGCAGAAGGCTCTCCATAGACTCACAGGTAAATGCTATCCTCATTGATACAGATCCTTAGTTTCTCTTTGGCTGAAATCAATAAGTTAACATGTAACCAATATAATCAGGTTCTGCAGCAACTTCCTTGGATATGTTTTTTTTTTTTTTTTTTTTTTTGAGACGGAGTTTCACTCATGTTACCCAGGCTGGAGTGCAATGGCACGATCTTGGCTCACCGCAACCTCCACCTCCTGGGTTCAGGCAATTCTCCTGCCTCAGCCTCCTGAGTAGCTGGGATTACAGGTACGCGCCACCATGGATATGTTTTAGAAAGGATACCCACCACTCTCCTTAGAGGGAAGCAAAAGGCATGACTAGTGGCTGCTGGGGAGGGACAAGGACATGTGGCCTTAATCAGTGACTGCTGAGTCAAAGTCGGGGACATGAGTTTTCTGAAACTTAATATGTATCATTTCTGGGCCTATTAGTTCTGCAGGCTGTTAACACAAACTAGTGTTAAAACTTACGTGATTATGGAGAAAAATGAGGCTTGAATGGAAATGGAAATGCTACCTTCTTAGCACTATAGGAGGTAAGATTTCAAGTCAACAGAAATAAAGGTGACAGGTGGATGTGTTAAATTACTGTGTGTTGTGAGTTTAAAAAAAAATAAAGCAAGTTAATGTCAACATGGAGAGGATCAGTAACACGTTCATAAAGTGAGCTCCTTGGTACAGTTCTATTGAGAAGGAGACTTTAGAAAGATTCAATGTCCTGATGATAAATGTAAGTACATGAGAATACTAACCTCTCCTAAAATATTAAAAACTATGAAACTCAAACCTTCGTACAGAAATTCAAATATATCATGTAGAAGCAACACTAATGACTGCAATAAAGGCAGAAAACTTGAAAATTAAACCTGAACTAATTGTCAGGATTATATCTAATACATTTAACAAATCTTCCAGAGTTCAATGGAAAAATATATGTTCACACCCTGGTTTATCTGCATGCTGGTCTTAAACACATTGGGAAAAATAAGGGAGTGTTCTTTCTTTCTGTGCAAATGTTTTTTGAATTTGTCCAACATTATTTCTAGATTCTGAGCAAGATCAGGCCTCAACTCTATATGCTTTTTGAAAGACTCAAGAAAGACTCAAGAAAGAAAATTCAATCTAGTCATATCACTGCTATTTACACACAGAGTGGTGTTACTAATCTGGGTAACAAAATTTCAGTGAGTGGCTACCAGGTAAGGAACTGCCAATCTCAGTCTCATGTGGTAGGGTTCATACAAGTGAGCTAGAATCTGGCCTAGTTGGGCCACTGGAACTAATTAAGATTTGAGGTTCAAGTTCTCTCATGTCTGCATAAACCTCCATGTAGAGAAATCATCACTTACTGTTTAATAAGGAGCTGGAAGTTGCCAAGATGAGATATCAGCATCTGGCAACCATACTAAATTCACTGTCCTATGCTTCCATGGGTGTATAATCACTGTTTGAAGGGAGGGCAATAAATCACTTTCCAAACCAAATGCTCTTTGCTTATGGTCCTAATTTCTCTTTTGTCAATCCATAGCACCAAATACTGGTTTAAGAACAGAAGATCTCCAAAAATCTAGTTTGAAAAACACACATATGGGTTCACTGAACCACAACTAGACAACTATATGGGGAGTGGGGTGAAGGGGGGTACGAAGAGAACAAAAAGCAAGACCAACCAGTTTTGAAATGTAGTCCAAAACCATCTGTTCAATTTTCTTCTTTTCTACACCCTGTAGGTGTCTCAAAAAATGGTCTTTTAGCTCAGACACCATCTGAAAACAGCATATGCATTAAATAAGTCACAGCCTATCCATTCATACCTGGCTTGGTTTGAATTGGATCCACTTATTAACATTCCTGATCAATATAAAAATATTGGATCTGAAGGTCCCAGCAACAGAAATGCGTAACTCTCAATAGTTCTCTGGTAAGCATAAAAAAGGGGTCCCCAACATTTGCCAAAAAAAAGTATTACTTATGATTCACCCAAAGCCCAGTGAGCAACTATGAGTAAGGCTCTAACTCTGATGAGAATCCTCCAAAGACAACAGTGAAAGTCACCAACTTAGAAGTCACAGGCTTTGGGATCTACCAAAGGATTGAAGTCTACTGCTCCTGGAGCCCTTGGGGATTAACTGAAACAACTCTATACATAGAATGACTGAGCCAATGTGGGCAACAGTTTTGGGTGTTTGGAGGACAGAGGCATGAGGAAACAGGAAATTATCAGGTACTTCCCTCTACACAGTGGCCACAGACCCTCAACACAGCCCTTGCCTCCAAACAGGCTTGTTTCTATACTCACTTGGACCACCCTTGGGCCTCCCCACTCAGCCAACCATTAGCATTCCCAGCCCTCCCCACCTTTGCTTTTCTCCCTCCTCTTCTCTCTTTTGCCTAGACATCCTATTCAGCAAGAGCAAGATGCCAGGGCAATGTCTGTGCCAATAAACAGCCCAAGGGAGTTGTACAGCTTATATCACCCATGCACACATCTTCTATTTTAGCAGATTCACATCACAATACCCCAAGTAAAAACTAGTCCACAACCTTCAGGGCCAAGACATAGTGGTACCTTATTTCAATTCACTCTCATGCATGTACCAATTAATTTGCCTTTAAATAAAAGATGTTTTTTGTATAATAAGTAGTGCACACTTTGTGCTTTCCAATTTTTCCGTGAAGATAAAAATTAAAATCAACCATAATCCTACCACCCACATTAACAATTGGGGATTATTTTTTTCTTTTTCCTGGCATGCGCGCCCATTCTAATGTTGTATGTTTGTCATATAAACATTGTTTCCCATACTTTTTTTTTTTTTTTTTTTTTTTTGACAGTCTTGCTCTGTCGCCCAGGCTGGAGTGCAGTGGTGTGATCTCAGCTCACTGCAATCTCTGCCTCCTGAGTTCAAGGGATTCTCATGCCTCAGCCTCCCAAGTAGCTGGGATTATAGGTGCATGCTACCACACCCAGCTAATTTTTATATTTTTAGTAGAGACGGGGTTTCACCATGTTGGCCAGTCTGGTCTTGAACTCCTGACCTCAGGTGATACACCCCTCAGCCTCCCAAAGTGCTGGGATAACAGGTGTGAGCCACTGTGCCTGGCCATGTTTGCCATACTATTTTAATGGCTGTACAATATTTAATTTTACAAAATACTATAATTATTCCCTTCTTGTATATGTGAGATTTTTCTTTTATTATTGTTGCCATATCTAAACTAATAAATAAATTATCCTATTCTTAAATCCTCATGGTATTAAAAATATGTTATTAGACTTCCACGATGTCTCTTTAATCAGCTTTTTAAAGGTTTTGGATTTATTTACAAATTCTGCTTTTCAATTAATTTATGTATGTTTCTTTGGTCTCAAGTAGTATTATGACTACTTGAGAGAAAGTACTTTGTTGTTTTTTTGTTTTGTTTTGTTTGAGATGGAGTCTCCCTCTGTCACCCAGGCTGGAGTGCAGTGGTGCAATCTTGGCTCACTGCAACCTCCATTTCTTGAGTTCAAGCGATCCTCCTGCCTCAGCCTCCTGAGTAGCCGGGATTACAGGTGTACACCATCATGTCTGGCTAATTTTTGTATTTTCAGAAGAGACAGGGTCTCACCACGTTGCCCAGGCTGGTCTCGAACTCCTGACCTCAGGTGATACGCCTGCCTCAGCCTCCCAAAGTGCTGGGATTACAGGCATGAGCCACTGTGCCTGGCCTGTTCTGTTGTATTTTAAACCCCAAATACAAATGCCACAAAGATGCAACTCTTTCCTTTTTTAAAGCACTCTCAATGGTATACACTCCTTATAATGGGTTGTAAATTACATATGTATTGGTATGATTCATGTGTGTCTTCTCCCTTGACTACATATTCCAAGAGGGCAAAAATCATATGGGTTGCTTACCACTGGACACACAGGGTCCATAATGCTGGCAAAAAGTATTTGTTTAAAGAATAAAGAATAAGATCAGAATGAGAAGCCCACTTTAGCCTTTTCCCCTCATCTTAGGGTCCCTTGTTTGCCAGTCCCTAAAGAACCCACATACCACTTACCAGCCCCATAAGCAGCCGCTGGTGGCTGTCCTCCTCCTGCAGGAGGGGCGTCAATCTTGGCTCTGAAAGGAAACAGAGCAACAGTCAGGCTCCGAGCAGTTTTCAAGAGATGGATTAGGATGGAGAAGAATCAGCCTGGGTTTCCCTTCTCTGAGTCATTGGGAAAACACAACACTTCCCTGACAGGATGAAAAGTTTTTATCACGTAAGTGTGACCTAGTCCTACAAGCTGAACTTATCACTGAGATGACACAGAAAGGAATGTGAACACATGAGGAATGACGGAAAAACAACACATTCCTCAACCCACCCTGATAGGCTCTAACTTTGCTTTTTGTTCAATGTTAAAACTCACTGTTAAGAACCTCTGCTCCACTGGAAACAGAGGGACTTGGCCCTTCTCTTAACCCTTCTGGGGTCATAAACTGAGAGATTGGGGCTCGGTGGAAGGGAGTTGCATGGCTCTCTTCTACTTTATGATCCCTGTAGTTCAGTGGCTTTGGGAGTTACTGAGCTGAGGGGACCAGTCAATTACTGTGGCAAATAATACTAACTGGCACACGTTTTCAGACTGCAAAGGTAGCTAGGACACAGTGGAAAAGTAATAAATCAAATCGTGCTTTCTCCACCATGATTTGCAATGCACGAGCAATCCACACTAGAGTGTAGTAGCCCCAGGGGCAGGTAAACCCAGTCTTGCTGGAAAATCTACCCCAAAGTGCTTCTAACATCTTCGTATTCTTTTTTCCTTAAATACTTGAGATCCAGTGCCAGGCAAGAGGGCAGAGCCACCCTGCTCAGTGGGCTGGCAACTCCTTCTGGGAGGGCATGGATATCTCCTGACCACGTGTAATAAATCCTCCCTGGATCCTACACAACCCTCATGCTTGATATGAAATGATTTTAAATGTGAATCCAACAGCCTGCATTTTACAGAACGTTCTGTTTCAGGCAGTGACATTCTTCATGGGGAACTAGTACAAACAAAGCACGTGTAAGGAAAGGGAAGAGTTTTCCTAAAGTGCATTAAGAGAGACTGACTAGTTAACAGAATGCAAATGGCCCTGACACACAGAGTAACTCCATAAGCAGGGCAGGAACCTCGACCAGACCAGCAACGTTCCCCGTGTTGCAAAACCCCCAGCAATGCAAGGACGGTAAGCCTGAATCACACGCATGCATGCCCCGAGCTTCAGTCATTGATGGCCTGGTAAGGCAGAGGCTGATTCCTCCTGGGCTGCTCGGTGAGCCCAGGTTCTGTCAGCCTGAGCTGGATGACAGGTGCGCTGTCACAGTTCACTGGGCCGTGTGCACAGCTGCAGAATGTGCAACAATGCACTGTATAAACTAGTTTCCATTACAGTCACCCAACATCCAAACCCATAAAACACGAGTGGGATATAAAAACAACAGCTTATTTAATGAAGGCTGACCTTCAGGAGGCATGAAAGTGTTCTTCTGGCAACTACAAATAAGCCTGTGCCTGAATATGCTCAGCATTCTCCTCCCCTGGTTTCACCTGGCCAAGTCCTCCTTGTTTATCAAGACTTAATTCACATGTCACCCCTGTGGGGAGCCTCTTCCAACCTCCCTCCCTCCTCCAGCCATCCCTGCTCCTGACCTATCCTCTCACTCCCTGCATCCACGGGTCACATAATACCTGTCATTTGGTTTAGAAGCCACACATTAACATTTCTTCCTTACACACTAATGATAAAGCAGCCACCTCAGATACCGGCATGCTCTAAGCACTGTGCTAGGTGCTATCTGCATTACCCAGTTAGTATCATTTTCTCCTCGCCCCCCTGAGCAGAACAGTGCATAAAATGGATAAGTGACTTGCCCAGGAGCACATGGTTCTCATGTAGCCATGCTGGAATCTAAGTCCAGCTCTGTCTATCTCTCAAGCCTGTGCTTTCCCCAGAACCACATCTTTATGCCTCTAGGACCTGTGTGCCCAATTTTTAACGAAAATGAGAGGCACATGCAAGACCCAGTAGGATCAGACAGCTGGAAAGCAAGCAGTGCCAAGCCAAGGGAATTGTTAAAATGCATCCTGTGGGCACAGCCAGAAGGCAATAAAGAGAACCACAGGGCCATCACCCAGGGACTCCCACAGCAAAAGCACATTCAGCAACTGTCCCCGGAGGTCCTGGTGCCCAGACAGACATAGGAAGAGCTGTGCAGCCACTCTTAAGAGGAAGATATTAAAGAAAATCACTTCCACACTACTGGAAGTGATTTTCTTGCCAACCCACAGTGGTAGGAAGAACAGCACTACAAACAGAACACTGACTGAAACCCAGAAGGCTTTATTACAGATCTTTTCTTACCCAAATTTCTTGCTTCTAGGTTAGAAATCACCCTACGAAGAAATTAGCCATGTTATTCACAGAGCATCGCTTTTAAAAAATTTAAAGCCACATCATACAAAGATGTCCTCCTTTAAAATTTCATAAAAACCACTGTGGAAACTATTCTCAGGCTGTTGAAACCTCAAAAACTTTGATCAATGTATTGAAAACCACATTAGGCAATTATAAAATCTCAAAACCCTGTAGTGCCAACAACGGCAATAATTTAGGACAATTGTAGCTCTCAGTTATTGAAAATAATGGGGGGAGAAAATGGAACACAGGTTGGAACGGAGCCTATACTTTTAGCACTCTGAAATGACTCATATACCCTGAAAATCGGCTTTCAAAATAAGAGCAAGCTCGCTAGCCCACTGACACTAAAAAAAAAAAAAAAAAAAAAAAAAAAAAAAAAAAAACCTACTATTTGCCTTTCTCTCCTAAAATGATCACTAACAGGAAATTTACCACTTATCCATTGTAAACATGTATCCACAGGTTACAAGTCTACAAGGTTTAATATATAAGCTTTTCCCACTAGAAATTCCAGCACCAAATTCCAGAATAGGATCCAAGTGACTGCATGCATGAAGCTGACAATATCATTTTGCTGGGGATATGCAACAAAGTAAGCTGTTTCTATAAAAGGTAGTCAACAAAATAAAGTAATTTTAACTGTTAATCATCTTACAGATACTATACCCTCTAATTTCACTTACTTTATCGCATTATCAAGAATATTCCTCACATATGCCGTGGACCTTCTTTTTCCTGTTTTCTATGAGTGAGAATACATCAGGAACGTGGAAGGTAAAGGTTTTAATGGGTGACTTTTCACATCAAAGATATAATGCAATACAGTTAAGAACATCAGAGAGGAGAAATATACTTTCCAGATAATCGGAACACCTAGATTTTAAAAAGTATTTTTAAGAAACTTTTTATTCTGAAACAATTACAGATTCACAGGAAACTGTGAGTCAACTATACACTATATACAATACTAATCTACATTCAGTGATACTACAGAGAGAGATCCAACGTACCCTCTACCCGGTCTCCTCCAGTGCTTCTATTTTACATAACTAGAGCACAGTATCAAAAGCAAAAACTGACATTGGCACAATGTATGTGTGTCATTCTATGCCATTTTATCACGTTCAGATTCTTGTCCCAACGTAACACCATGATCAAGATTCAGAATTCTTTGATCACCCCCAAAGATTTCCATATCACCCCTGGATAGTGAGTCCCATCCACTGTTCTCCCTCCAACTACCCCCAACCCCTAACGACCACTAATTTGGGAACATCTATATTTTTTTAAATCAAATTTTAACTACTTAAGTAACCTGGGAACATAGCTGAGAGGTGGATATTAATCGTACTTCTACTATGAATGCGCTGTGTGTCCCTTAACCCTTCTGCCCTTCAGTTTCCTCCCTGCAAGAACAAAGATTGTAGAAGCACCTCCACCTATTGAGATCAGTCATGACAATGTTCAAGTCCCTGGCAACTGGGAAGAAGGCTGCACATGGAAGCCAGTCTTATGATTTAAGGGCATTGCCTGGATCCAGGCCCCTATGCCTGGCTGCTGGCTTTGCTCTCACTGACCCACTCATACCTCTTCAGAGATCAGGTTTTGCCACTCTCTCCTGACCACACTGTTGTTATAGTGGAAGTGTGGCTTGGCGTACTTGACATATTCCAGGTTGGAGTTCAATTTTTCCCAGTAGCCCTTAAAGCTGTGCACCTGTAGGAGACAAAAACATCAGCGGTCTTCAGAAGCTGCCCTGGTGGTCCAAACTACCCAGTGAGTATCACACAAGGCTTATTTCCCCAGCTCTCAAGGCCCATATTTCTAAGTGAATACTTTCGACAGAGGATGGCATTCTAGACCCAATAGTGATTCTAAAATAGACTTAAAGAATCTTATTTTCCCACCTCATTTTCTGTCTTTTTTGTGTGGTCTTTTTAAACCACATAGAGAAATGCTGCTCACTTCCCAAAACCAGCAGGACTTCCCTGAGTTGACGCTTAGCGGGGAAACCTGTATTAAACATATCGAGTCATTTCCTCCCTAGAGACCCATTTTTGTGACTTAGGTGGTGTCAACAGTGCCATATTCACTAAAAGAAAGTTCATAACATTTGGATAAGTGGAGGAGGTGAATTTTCCTGCTAAACTTATTTACTCCCAAGGACATTTTTCAAAACCTAAGAATCAAAAAGGATGAAATGAACTAATTTTACATTCAGTTGTCACATACTCCAAAACAGAAAGCATTCTATCTACGTTTTTGAATTATTGATATAATTGCACTACCCTGAAGCAAGAATGTATCCATTATATTCATTTTTTAAATAATAAAATGCAATGTTAATACATTCTTAGTGTTGAAGGATATACTAACACAAATTGGTTTTAAACCAATAGCCTTTTGATACTTTTTGCCAAAATATCTACATTTGCAAATGATTTGACTGGGGCCAGAGTTGTAATGTGTGGTCATAAAACCAAGTGAGCTATTGCCTGCCAAGGTGACAGACTTGGCTGAACTGCAAGAAAAATAGGAAAACTTTAAAAAATACACCTTGACCAAGAAAAATTCCCTGATGTTAAATTATAGCATATTATTAACATTTTTATTCAAAGGACAGTCATAATTGGCTTGAAATGTATTTTGTAGTATCAGTAAGGTGAGCAACATAATATTAAAACTTGTTCATTCAGAAGCCTGAAATACCCATCTAGCCAACATTCCTCCTCCCAGAGACAGAAAAACTCTTCCCAAGAAAGTCTCATTTCCAGGAGAAAACACGAATCAGATCCCACTCCTCACTTGACCCACCTCACTTGTCTTTTCTTTTTCCTTCCATTTATTTATAATGAACGTACGCTTATCCACCCTTTGGGTCTTCTTTGTAATTAAGGGAAAAAAAAAAAGACAAGATAAATCCAGCAGACATTTGGCAGAATTAGGTCCCTGCCTGGAAGTCACTACAGCTTTCGTGCTGTCCTAATCTGGGCTCAGGCACAGGAGTGCCAAAAGCCAGAAAACTAATTGGTGTTGTGGTGACATCTAGTGGTCAGGTGAGCTATTAACTCCGCCTGCTTAGCCACAGGAGTCCCACCAGGCAGTTCACCCACAACCTTGTCCAGGACAGGATAGGGGAGGGGAGAATCTCAGGTGCCCTCTACCTGTCATCTGGCCCCATCCCCTCAAGTCAAATGCTATTCTGTTGTTAGAAGGCGCCATTCACACTGCAGCTCTGAAGAAAAGATCTCTCCCACGTTACCTTCCTTCTAACTCCATTTAAAAAATCCCTTTCCTCATAACATTCTGGGGAGGTAGGCACATTTCTCATAGGTGTTTTATTTAAAATTAACAAATAATAATTGTATGTATTTATGGGTTGCAATGTGGTGTTTCAATACATGCATACCTTGTGGAATTATCAAATCAGGCTAATTAGCATAACCGTCTGTCTGCTAAGAAGAAACAGATCAATCAGAGCTCACCACATGTCTGTGGACAGGCTTTAGAGGGGTTCCAGCACCCACTGCCTGAATGTAAAATAGAGCATGTGTTTGTATAAGCACTCTTCTGAGGAGATGGTCTGTAGCTTGCACCAGATTTCCAAAGAAATCCATGGTCTAAAATAGACTAGAGTTAAAAGCAAAAGGATCTGAATTTAAAACAAAAATTAAAACTTACATTTAAGTCAGAAATACTGTTAGCCAAACATCCCAAAAATATTTTCACATGAACTTACATGTTTTTCAGGGAGGTCACTGGCCTATTTATTATAGACATTAAACGTATCTATACTATCTTACAGATATTAAGATGATACAGAAAAAAACTACATATGTCACTATTTGGTATCCACTAGAAAAGTGATATTTTTTTTTTCAGTTAAGAAATGCACAGAAATCATTCTAAATTGGAAAGTCTATTTGGAAACCTGGCAAACAGACATGGCACAGGGGAGGGAAATGGATTTGAGTCAGTGAAGGACAAGGAAAGGATGTTCTAGGTGGGACTCCTAGGGTGTGGGCAAAGGCAGAGACTAGAACATGGAATCGGGGCTCATATCTGAGGCAGAGCATTAGAGCCAACAGCACTTCACTCCCTGTGGTGAACACAACGACCTCCAACGTGTGCCACGCCCAGCCTCTGCTGCCCATTGGAACTACCTGGGTCCCATCCCCAATTTGATTTAGTTGGCTTGAGGTATGCCTGAGCCTTATGAGTTTTACAAGTTCCCCCAAGTGATCCTAATGTTCAGCCAGGACTGAGAACACTGTTTGAACATGTTCAAGTAAACCCTCAAATACTTTACTAAATCTATATACCTTTGGCTTAAAGGCTATATAAATCACCAACTGTCTAAAGACTTGTGATTGTGTGGTTTTAAAATAGGAGATATAAAGAGGTAGTTAGGGCCAAATCTTTGAGGGATTCTAAATGCCAAGGTAACACCAGCATGCTCATTATCCCAGAGAACAAAAGGATCTCCCACATAACATTTTAGATGTTGTAACCCAGAATGGAGGGGAGAGAAAGGGAGAGTTGAATCTACACAATCCCATGCTAAGAGCCAAGACATGCCATCACACCACTATGCTCTAGGATGAGCCTGGTCAAGAAATAACAGATGCTGGATGAGGCTGTGGAGAAACAGAAATGCTTTTACACTGTCGGTAGGAATTTAAATTAGTTTGACCATTCAACCATTATGGAAGACAGTATGGAGATTCTGCAAAGACCCAGAAGTATTTGACCTAGCAATCCCATTGCTGGGTATATGCCCAAAGGAATATAAATCCTTCTATTATAAAGCTACATGCACGTGTATGTTCTCTGCAGCACTATTCACAACAAAGACATGGAATCAACCCAAATGCCCATTAATGATAGACTGGATAAAGAAAACATGGTACATATACACTATGGAATACTATACAGCCATAAAAAGGAACAAGATCATGTCCTTTGCAGGGACATGGATGGAGCTGGAAGCCATTATCCTTAGCAAACTAACACAGGAAGGGAAAACCAAACACTGCATGTTCTCACTCAGAAGTGGGAGCTGAACAATGAAAACATATGTTCACAGGGAGGAGAACAACATACACTGTGGCCTGTTGGCGGCAGTGGGGAAGGAGAGCATCAGGACAAATAGCTAATGCATGTGGCCTTAATACCTAGGTGATGGGTTGACAGATGCAGCAAACCAACATGCCACATGTTTACCTATGAAACAGACCTGCATGTCCTGCACATGTATCCTGGAACTTAAATTTAAAAAGAAAAAAAAAAAAAAAAAAGATGAGGCTGGGCACAGTGGCTCACGCCTGTAATCCCAGCACTTTGTGAGGCTGAGGCGGGCAGATCATGAGGTCAGGAGATAAAGACCATTCGGGCCAACATGGTGAAACCCTGTCTCCACTAAAAATACAAAAAAAATTAGCTGGGCGTGGCAGTGCACACCTGTAGTCCCAGGTACTTGGGAGGCTGAGGCAGGATAATTGCTTGAACCCAGGAGGCAGAGATTGAGGTAAGCCGAGGCTGTGCCACTGCACTGCAGCCTGGGCGAAAATGTGAGACTCTGTCTCAAAAAAAAAAAAAAAAAAAAAAAGGATGAACCTGGAACACAGCAAATCACTGACAATCAGCTAGCACTTATCCAACAAGGCAAATACTGTCCTCATTTGGAACAATAGCAGCACAAAATGAAAGCCACAACTGCCCAGGAAGCCCATCACCAGCTACTTGCAAAGAGCTAATAAAGCTTTAAAAATAATACACAAAAAAATGCTGTATAAGTAACTTAATATGCCGGGTACAGTGGCTCACACCTGCAATCCCAGCACTTTGGGAGGCCGAGATGGGTGGATCACTTGAGCTCAGGAGTTTCAGACCAGCCTGGGCAACATGGCAAAACCCTGGCTCTACTTAAAAATGTAAAAAGTTAGCTGGGTGTGGTGGCATGTGTCTGTAGTCCCACCTACTCCGAAGGCTGAATGGGAGGACTGCTTGAACCTGGGAAGGTGGAGATTGCAGTAAGCCAAGATGCCAATGCATTCTAGCCTGGATGACAGAGTGAGACACTATCTCAAAAAAAGAAAAGAAAAATACCCCTGAATTAGAGACAATGTTAGAAGCAATCAGATCCTCAAGGAACGACCTGGAAGCATTTTCCTACATAAAGGGGAGTTTTTTTCTCTTAGGATGACCTCAAATAATTGCCAAACACAGCCCATCACAACTATTCATTGAACAAAAGAACCAGTGGGTTACATTAAGGAACTGTTTCCCATTTATGATTTGGATTGCCAGTTGATCCAAAAACAAACAAAGCAAAAAAGCCCTGGGGTACTGGCTCATCTGCAAATTACTGTGAGAAAAACACATCTGCCTTTCATTTCTAAAAGGCCCTCTGGCTTTGGTCCTACTTCTGCTGATTAACCAGCATCTTCTTACAGAGGAGGCAGCCAACTCAAAGAGAACCCTTTCCTCTGTGTGCCAGGACTCAACTAGCACAGCTAAAGCATCATCCAATTTAGCTCTTCAGTGGATCCCATCTCAGTATCAGCTTTTACTTATAGCCCAGAGAAACACAGTGACCCATTACCTCTAAGCATTGACAGAATAAACAGAAAAAGTTTGTGTGTATATAAAGCTATGAAGGCACTAAACTAAGATACTCTAAACAGGAACACTCATTCACAGGGCAAGTGACCAGA